GCCAATGTCACCTGATCCTCATTACAGGGGCATCAAGGGGCCTGGCTAGTGCCACAGCGCTCAGAAATGACAGGGCAAGGGCTACAGGCCAGGTTTCCCTGAGTCCTGGTGTCATGGTGACAAATCCTCTCTACCTGAGAGCTTTTCGGAGCTGTGGACTTCTTTGAAGCTATTTCTAGTTTCAGTCAATGACTGGCTTTGGCTGATTCTCCACACCACCCAGTACCCAAACAGGCCTCACTTCTACATCTGAAACTTCCTCTTGGAATAAGAAGGCATTTTCCTGGTGGCCCCAACAGTTCCCCTCCTGGAGTGGCAAATGATGAAATACCCAATTTAGTCCTTATACTATCACCTTCTTGTTCAAAGTTAGTGAGGATTCTATGAAACTTTACTTCCAGGTGTCTAGATTCTCTACTGTATGTCATTGACACTGGGAGACCAAATTCTTGAAGCTTAGACCTTATGGGGGAAACATGCAAAGCTGAAAAGCTTATCCATTTAAATAGACACATTGTTCCCATTTTGAAGGCCTATGTAAGAGCAAGATGCTAACACCAAATTAGAAATCATCCAATTCCAATTAGAAATCACCACATACCAAATATTGGACCTATGGTCTTTTGAGCCCATCAAACCACTCCAAAGCAAGAATATAAAGCTGAAGCAGTGGCAGAGACATTATCCTCACTTGACGTTTGAATTAGTTTAATAATAACAACAGTAATAACCAGGTCTTTTCAAGTTACACATCTCTTCCTGTAACTCACAGAAAGTATATTTATCTTGAAAAACGCTACTATCACAAGTAAACACATCTAAATGACTGTAAGGAAATATCATTGTCCTCCACCCATTTTAAAAGCATTTTAGGGAATCCCACTCTTCACAATAATGGTGCCTTTGAAAAACATTGTTAATACATTCTTCATCTGTACACATCTATTTGTTTTTAATGAAAACTTCCTCATTCAAGCTTATGAGTATAGCCAACATTTATTTAGCAGTTACTCTGCCAGGTACTATCCTAAGTCATTTACATAGATCATTTTATTTAATCCTCTTAACTTTAAGCAGTAGGTACTATTACATCCCCCATTTTACAGTTAAGGAGTCTGAGTGTTTTAGGTAACCTGTCCAGGTCACTCAGCAACAGGCAACAGAACCAGACTTGAATCTAGAGAATTCTACTCCAAAGCCCATACTCTTAACCACTTCTTGAAGCATTCTTATGATTTCATATCAGAACTATGGGTAATTTAGGAAAGGTCACCATTTCTCCTTTGCTGTTTAGCCTCTTTCCTCCTTGTCTCTTCTTCCATTTTCCTTCCTGCTTCCTCTCAGTCTCTCTAACTTGCACCTTTAGATTCCTCAGTTTTCTTTTCCAGCCACAGCCAGGAACCTGGCCTCACTCCAGCTCCTAGCTGGCAACAGTGCAAGTTTAGGTGGGAGCCTGTGGGGAATGATGAGCAGATGGCCATTGGCAGGACACAGCGGAACTGCCTCGGAAGCATGAGGTTACCTGCATGTCCATGATGACCTCCCACGCTTGGGTAAGAAACATTCTCCGACCCTTCCCAGGGACGCATTTATTTTCATGGTGAGGTGGAAATATGTGAGGAGCCCTCAGACTCTGAAGGAAATGTTGAATTTAGCAATGCAAACTCAGAGCAAGATGAACAGCTGCTATTCTAGACTTTCCTTCTTTCATACTCTGTCTGCTATGCATTGAGTTGGAAATTTTGGAAACTTAGGGGTACGACCTGCTTCATTAAATCATATTTCTTCAGAGTTACTGGGAACCAAAAAGTTTTGCCAAAATTTTTCTGGGGGAAAAAAAAAGGAGATCCTTTATTAAAAAAAAAAAAATTTTTTTTTTTGAGGGTTGGTTTAAATACATTCAATTACATTAGCTCAATTTATTAGATACTACATCCAAAGCTTGAGTTGGAAAAGGAGCTGGTCTCTGTCTACATATTTTTCTGGCAGCATGTGAATGGCGTCACCTGTCAGTTGCAGTAGGCAGCAGGTGCATGAGCTCAGGAGTCGGCCAGACCTTCATTTTCACCTTCCAGCAGTGTGACCTTGAGCCACTTACTTCTTCAAACCTCAGTTTCTCTGTTAAAAGGTAGGGGCGTTAATGTTCGCCGCCCGGGGGTTGCTGTAAGGATCAAGTGACATCAAGTCTATGAAAGTACCTAGCACAGAACTAGCAGAGTAGGCATTTAATAAATGGTTGTTTTATTTAATTTTATGTCATTTTAAGGGAGGAGAAGATATACAGACTTGTTATTAAGAAATAAGGAGACAGAAACCGTAAATTTGTGGTCTGTAATTTTTCCTTCATTTAAGAAAACTGTTCACCAAAGCTATATTTTCAGTTAAAATAGAGCAAAATCTTTTGCAATACCTCTCCCACCAAAACCTCAGCTTTTAGTAATCAGACACTTCGAAGTCTGACTGCACAATGTATGGCTATCTGTGTATTACTGCCACACACATATTTACAACATAAAATTCACGAGAACAAACACAAAAAAGTCAACAGGGAAATGCTGATGGTCAGATGTAAATGTTAGGCTCTTGTAGCCTATCAGAAATCATCATTTACAAAGAAAAGATGAAAAATACGTGATTCACAAAAGAAAATATATCAGTAAATCAGAAATTCTACACAATAAAGAACACTTATAAGGAAAGTTTATATGGAAACATTATGTTTTCAACTCTACCTAAAATTATCTCAGATTTCAGTTTTAGCATTATTTCCAGTTTGATTTTTAAGATAAAAAAAATACGGTCACCACTGCTTTGCTCAACATTTCCCTTTGGGTAATAACATACACAATCCTATTTTAAAAAGCAGCCAATGGGGGTGCTCACTGAAGAAACAGCAACTGACAACTGTAATGCATGGCAATCTAGCAACAAATAATTTGCAAGACACCAGTCCCAGAAAGAAACTAAAATGGGAAACTATGATAAAAACTGTTCTTTGCATGAGGTTACTGGGCCTATAGCTGGACAAGTCTCCCACTGCCCAAGGGGCTGAAAGGCATTTTCTATGTAAAGGATGCAGTGTCTGGGAAGGAGTTCAGGCCACAGTGACTCTCAGAAAGCTCGGGTTACAGCAAAACCTTCAAAGTCATTTCTAGAATATAATCAAAGCTCTCCTCTGCACAGAGTCAGAGTGGTGGCAAGTTCCTGGAACTGAATTTTTTTGCTGAGTTCAGCATTAAACAATCTGCAAAAGCTCAGATAAGCTAGACTGAATAAACAAGCAGCAAAGTAAATTTTCCCATGGAGTTTCAACCACAGCCAAATGCATTGTGCTGTTTCAACCAAAAAAACTGTGCATATACCTAAGTCTACCCTCCACTGCCAAAAAAACTATACATAGTTGGCCAACTTTCTAGAATTCTCTTAGTTTTGATAATGTTAAAAGCAATGACAGTGAGGCTTCTTTTCCTCAAATACATTATAAATCTACAACAAGCACATAGTATTTTCATAAAAATTATCTATATTCCTACAAACTGTATTATCTCTACTGATGTTAAAAAAATTGAGTGGGGCTTCCCTGGTGGCACAGTGGTTGAGAGTCCACCTGCCGATGCAGGGGACGCAGGTTCGTGCCCCGGTCCGGGAGGATCCCACATGCTGCGGAGCGGCTGGGCCCGTGAGCCATGGCCGCTGAGCCTGCGCGTCCGGAGCCTGTGCCCCGCAACGGGAGAGGCCACAGCAGTGAGAGGCCCGCGTACCGAAAAAAAAAAAAAAATTGAGTGCTTAGTTGGCATCTATCCTGATTACCCCCGGTCCAAAGTACACAAGAGTAAAAAGTTAGAGATTTCCAAAGGCTTTTTGTTAAGGCACAAGCCCTATTTTAAAAAACAAATCCTGAAAAGGTTCTGTGGGAACAGAATTTCAATGAGAATTTCATATATTCAAGTTTATGCTTATGAAGCAATAAAAATGTTTAATTAAAATTTACACATTTGTTTTGAAAATAAAATACTAATTTTAGATTTTGTGCTCATCTTTCGCTGTTACTACTTGTACAGATGTCTTTCTACTAAAATTTATGTGGGGTATTCGATAGACCTCTACCAGGCTTCTCAGGGTCTCCTTCCTCAAAGCACCCACAGAGAGAAAAGCCAAAGTCACAGACAGAGGAAACTCCTCTAAAGGCAGTTATTCATTTCCTGAGCTAACCCACTTCCTTCTTCAGACATTTTCTTCTCTTCATCAATGTGTGTTTTTGAAATTAGCATCAAAGGCTTCTTGCAAAATATACTTCTGGGTCTGGGGCCTGGAATCCAGGCAAATGCCAATGGCTGTGTCATTTCTAATATCATCACTGCAGTGATACAAAATTAGAATCACAAATGAAGTGTCACTTCAGTAGTACAGAAGGCTCCCTGCAATGTTAAACTGATGTTTTAGCAAAAGAATCCAGATCATTACGAGGTAGAGCCATGTTTAGAGAAAATAATTGTCACCAAAGTGAAAAACTGAACACTACTCCATTATGAAAAATTATAGCAGCTTCCATAATAAGGAAATCAATTTTTTAATCTTTTAAACCTTAAGCAAACTTTAATGAGTTGCTGGGTTTCTTCATATTAAGGACAACACTGGAGAGAAAATTGAAAGTCTCATAATTATTAAAGTTTATATATTTTATTAGAAATGTATCTCCTCAATGACTGTTGTCTTCACTTTAATCAAAGCAGATATAGAAGGCTGAACAGAAATTTGGCTACCATGCCAACTCGATCCCCCAAGACACTGAGAATCTCCTGACCTCCACACGGTTTCCATCCCAGACCCCCTAAAGAAGGGGAGGGGCTTAGGGAGCCCTACTTTGTCATGTACCATCAATAAAATACACTGTATCCAGAAAAAAGAAAAAGAAAGAAAGAAAATTTGGCTACTATGATTCTTCTGTGCTAATAATACAAAATGTTATTTAAAAAATCAAATCAGTCTTTACCTAAATATAAATATAAAAAGCTTTATTTATTTACCAGCAAAGAGTGATACCACAAAACAAAGGAAATAAAGTCTCTTAAAATGTTTATTTTTGTCAGAATAGCTGACGATTTTCTATTAAGTCTTTCGGTTTATTATTATAATAAGCATTCCCCCCTTGAAAAATCCATTCAAAATATCTCAATTCTTGAGGTAAAGAACTTTAAAAAAAAAAAATCCCGATTTTTTTTAAAGAAAAAAATTCTTAAAATTCCTTTAAGCTTGATAAATAGAAATAATCTCTTCTTGTTCTACTCTGGTGAACAAAAATGTACTTTATACAGCAAAATATCCAGTCACTTATTGGCAAACTGAAGGTGAGAAGTATTCATTTACATGTTTTATTCAAACAGTGCAATACTGCCACGTTCATATAGACTTTTTCTTTTTTCTTTTTTCTTTTTTTTACAGTTACCAACACTCTTCTGGCAAAGACAAGGTTTTGAAATGGCAAAAGCAACACAAGTTTTAGATCTCAAAGCTCTGGAAAGGAATTAATCTGAGTCTTCATCATCAAGATAGTCCTCGGCATTGCTTAATGTTCGGACTGCATCTAAAAGGAATGGGGGAAAAACAAAACAGAAATTACAAATGGCTCAGATTTTGTTTTCACTTTCAAAGCTCCTGACAATTCAAAACACTGTAATCTTCCCTCAGACCTAGGGGTTGTATTTTCTCCAAGGATATTTTTCTACTTTTGCTTTCCAGTCTAACTGATTAGTTTCTGTTGCCACAGAGGCTGACAAATACATTTGTCTGCATGTTACCTAGACATGCAGAAAAGTAAAGCACATGGTGCTGAGGTACCACTAGTCTATCTTAAACAAAATACGACCAGCCACATGCACCATGACCAATGCGGAACACACCAGAAGCCCGTCCACCCTGACAACTGGGCATCCAAACTCCTTTCCCAATGACAAGTGCACAGGTGGCTTCAGTCAGTCGACAACCGGTGGCCTTACCTGAGGGCAAGGTCACTGGGTAGAAAGATAACTAATGAGGCAGGGAAAAGGAAAAGAAAGAGAATGAAAACACAAAAGCTTAAGTTTCATTTTAGAAAACATTGATAAAGTATACTCAGAAGCAAAAGAAACTGAAATGAAAAATAAATAAACGTTTTAAAATAGAAAGAGCTGAACCCCATCAAATGTTAAGTCAACCTTAAACAGAGTTCAAAAGGGAGACATCTGATCTTTAACTGTTCACCTGTCCAGTCAAATTCAAACTGTCTAGTCAAATTCCTATAGCAACAGGTTACACGAGGTATAGTTTTAAGGGGAAAACTGAAATGCAAGTATAAGCACATTGTTAGAGCTCAATAAATGTATGTTTTATATAGCACCCAGAACATGGTCTCTAAATACTATAAGCCCATGCTCATTGGAGATATGACTGATTCCAAGTCTGGGGAAGAAACTGTAAAAGAGAGACCTGAAACCTCTTGTTATGCCATAAAACAAGGATCCTAGCAAAGACAGCATCATTTTAAAAGGGCTCAGGATCCTACCAGAAGAGGCCTCCACTAGCCAAAGATAGGCTACCAGTAAGGAAACTATGCTGGATTAAAACACAGCAAATATTTCAGCACACACCAAAGAGAATTCATTGGCCCCCTTCTAAAAATAACAGGGAACGAGCAGGTTATTTTGAAAACTCTTAAAAGGTAAAAATCAAGCCTTTATTCTGCCCCTGATATACAAACTATTGCTCGAGTAACCAAACAGTTGATAAGGGGAAATTTTTCTTTATAGAATGTTCCAACTAATAACCAAGAAAGGAGTGACAAAATTAGAATATCACCATTTTGCAACCATTAGTGAAATAATGAATCTAGACAATGATCATCCATGGAGGCTAACATTGCAGGACAAGTGACAAACAGATACTATGCACCTCTGACAGAAGAACACAATTTTCTTTATGAAGTATTCTTCCCTCTATCCCTAAGATAGATAGATAGATAGATAGATAGATGATAGATAGACTCCGAATCTAATCAAACCTCTAGCTGTAACACCAATTGACAAAAATACAGAGGACAGAGGAGCATGACAACACCATGGGAATGCATGCATGCAATGTCTACCCTGGGAAATTCAGGGAAATTGGCCCAGTTTCTTTAACAAATAAACTGCAAGGCTAAACAAAGAGGAAAAGGAGAGGGAAAGGAAACATTAATTGAAAAACAAAGAAACAAGAGACATAGCTATCAGTTTGGACTCTACTTAAAAAAACATAAATAAATAAGCAAAGAATAAACAAACATGTAAGAGAAAATGGTAAATTTAGACCATCACAAGATGTTTGATGATACTGTAGTTTTTTTTAAGTCTTCATAGGTTTAGAAAAATGATTATTGAAAAATAAAGGAAGGGGCAGGGGAGAGGGCAGGGATATAGAAACCGATTTATCTTATACAAGAGAGAGAAAGAAAGGTAAAAGAACAAGTGGCTTTACGCAGAACAGAGGTGGCCTTCGACGACTTCACACAAGCTTCCGAACTATTTGAAGTCTCCGGGTTGACTGTACTCTCCATTTTCCTTAAGAGGAGTTCTGGAGACCTGGGAGGAAGGTATTTTATTCTGTTCCATACACACCCACAAACTTCAGGACTGGCCGTGAACTTGGTAAAAGTAGCCTTTTAAGCTAAAGGCAAAAAGACAAATAGCAAAGCTCTTCCCCTTTCTACTTTGCTACTACAAACCTGTGTTTTTCGATATTGGAGATATTCTTTGTCCTTCAATGGTTACTTTGGCACTTTGCTTTAAGCAAGAGGAAGATGACTGGCCACGGTGCAAATTCTGACCAAATAGAAAGTGAGAGCCAGGCAAATAAACTTCTCCTTCCTTCCTTCCGTGGACTGCTCTGAGGCACAGTTTCTCTGGAAACTTCTCATATGGCCAAGTGCTGATAATGAGCAGTATCTTCATAGCCCGTCTTGGGGCATGACTATCATGGTAATGTTTCCCCTAGTAGTGCTTCCCAGCCTCCCCTACCTCACTTCCATTTTTTTCTCAATCTCACTGCCCTGGATTTACATGTTCCAAAGCACCAGAACTTAGACAAACAAACAAAGAAAGAAATAAATGGTGGAGGGATAAACACAATAACATGTAAAAGCTCACAGACGTGTTACGTGAAAGAAGTTAGACACCAAAAAGCACATACTGTATGATTCCATTTATATCAAGTTTGAAAACAGGCAAAACTAATCTATGGTGAGAGAAGCAGAGGATTCTGAGGGAGGCTTCTGTTGTGTGGGAAGTGTCCTCTATCATCTGGGTTATGGTTAATAAGTTTAGGCACAGTGGGGATCCCCTGGCGGTCCAGTGGTTAGGACTCTGCACTTCCACTGCAGGGGGCCCAGGTTCAATCCCTGGTTGGGGAACTAAGATCCTGCACGCCATGTGGCACGGCCGGAAAAAGAAAAAAAAAAAAAAAAAAGGTTAATTTCAGTGTGGATTAAATCAGGTTAATGAATTTTTTAAAAAGCGTAAGCACAGTAAAAAAAAATCAAGATGTACACTTAAGATTTATGTACTTTACTTAATGTAAATTATACCCTAGTTTTTAAAAATTGGAAAAAGAACTTAAAGGTTCAATCCTCGGGCTTCCCTGGTGGCGCAGTGGTTGAGAGTCCGCCTGCCGATGCAGGGGACACGGGTTTGTGCCCCGGTCCGGGAAGATCCCACATGCCGCGGAGCGGCTGGGCCCGTGAGCCATGGCCGCTGAGCCTGCGCGTCCGGAGGCTGTGCTCCGCAACGGGAGAGGCCGCAGCGGTGAGAGGCCCGCATACCGCAAAAAAAAAAAAAAAAAAAAAAAAAAAAAAAAAAAAAAAAAAAAAAAAAAAGGTTCAATCCTCAAGTATGGCTTGACCCCACCCTATATCCTAGAGTTACCCTTCATGGTAAGTGTAACATGTAAATTATTTTGTCCCTATAAGAAATTCAAGATGTGCTTTTAAAAGTGGACCACGAGGGCTTCCCTGGTCGTGCAGTGGTTGAGAGTCCGCCTGCCGATGCAGGGGACACGGGTTTGTGCCCCGGTCCGGGAAGATCCCACGTGCCACGGAGCGGCTAGGCCCGTGAACCATGGCCGCTGAGCCTACGCGTCCGGAGCCTGTGCTCCACAACTGGAGAGGCCACAACAGTGAGAGGCCTGCGTACCGCAAAAAAAAAAAAAAAGTGGACCACGATATCAGAATATACCTCTTCCGGTTTAGAGTTCATGCTGGCAATTTGCTATATGGCCAAATATTCAAACTCTCACTCCAACTAGGATCAAAATACAAATTAAAAAATTTTAAACTGGATAATTGGGCAAATGAAGAAAAAAAACAGAGAAAAAGGTAACATGAAAAATGAAATACGAAAATTCATTTCTTGGCTCTGTGTGCCAGGCCCCAAGATTACCTCATTACTGAAATCAGTACAGCACAAATTTAGGAAGGTAAACTAAAGAAACTTGGAGTAAACAGAGAAACAGAACACCAACGTCCCTGCCCTTTTCTACAAAGACTACAGAAAAATAAGGAGAAAAAGACAGAAGTTTGCCACCTGCCTCTTCCAGCTCGTTGTTCATGTGGAGGCTTCTGGGTGTAGCTCTCTGGGGTCTGAGCAGGTGTGATATTTTCATTGTCTATCACCATTAAACTCATAGTGTGCATGAGACTCTGATAGCCTTTAGCTCATAAGAAATCTTACTCCTCAGTCAGGATGTTTTGGAGGTGCCCATATAGCGGCAGGAAGTCAGTGGCAGAGAAAGGAAATTAGGTCATAGACCTTCTTTCTGACCCAACCAAGGCAGCAGGGCGTGAGAGGTCCACCTCAAGTAAAAGTGTTTCTCCCACATGGCTGCAAATACGGCTTCTCAGTCCAAATGTAGCTAGGGAGCACCACTCAGCTGGTAAACACTTTCTCACTCATTCGGTAGAACCTATACACAGCTATGCATGAGTAATTACTTTAAAGAAAAACTTGCTCTGCCACCAAACATTCATGGCTTAAATAATTAAGAAATCCCTAACTGCTTAATGGTTTACATTATACCTGAACTGAGGTTAAATAAGAATCTGGAACAAACACTTATCTGAAATAAGGGACAAACGGAACAATAGATTTGTGAGAATTATGATGGGAATTTGATGATAGGAAGATGATTCAGGGAAGTTCCCTTGGTAGGCCACGAAGAGAGGGGGGGGCTGTTTGCTTTCTTTAATTGACTAAAGCAGGAAACCAGGGGACTGATATATTTTGCTGCTTATGCTAGAAATGGAATATGGGACAGCATAATATTGCCTCTTCTCATAAATCAAGGGATACCTGAGGGAGAAATAAGTTTTCCAAGGGTTCAAACATTAATGGGAATTTAATTCAAATGATAGAAACAGAAATGAGCATCTCATTACCCAAGTTGGAGAACTCTGAAAATGATAATACCCTAAGGATAAAATGAAAACACATGAACTTAGCCTCTATAATGGAAATTTCTAAAAAGTTGTCTTGGTGATTCTCCACCAACATGAATCAGTCTAAGCTTCAGACTCTAAAGCAATACTAAAAAAGTCCAGAATGATGAGTAGCAATGCAAAGACTTGCAAAAGGTGAATCCTCCATTATACTAGTTCCTTTCTAGAAAACGGCAGTAAAAATGTATCCATTACAGGCTTATACTTCAAAGTGGAATTAAAGTGCCAAACAGGAGATACTTAAGTAGAATAAGGCTTGAGAAGTGAGAAAAAAGAGATCAAATGTTCCCTCCAACCAAGCATCTTCCACCTTTCTTTTTTTCTACCTCTCTGGGTTTCTCATGGGCCAGGAGGCTGATGATAAATGAACGAAGGACAGAGGAGAGGTGGATGGGAAGAAGAGTTCACACCCTGCCACCCCCAGTACTCCTTTCTGGAATCACCACGTTAGAATGAATCTAGGGGAGCACATTCAGCAGGCTATATACTGAGAAGTCAAATCAACAGCCAATCTCTAAATAGTAATCATGAACAGTGCAAATGTGTTTAACACCTCTTCTTTCCTTTAACACCTTTTCAAAACCACCACACAAACTCTTCATTTTTATAGAATTGCATGTGAACTTTTCAAACCTCTTCTCCCACATCAATAGATATTATCTTTAAGAATATACACTCTATCTTCAGACTTCCCTGGTGGCGCAGTGGTTAAGAATCCACCTGCCAATGCAGGGGATACGGGTTCGATCCCCGGTCCAGGAAGATCCCACATGACACAGAGCGACCAAGCCCGTGCGCCACAACTACTGAGCCTGCGCTCTACAGCCCGCGAGCCACCAACTACTGAGCCTGCGTACCACAACTACTGAAGCCCACGCGTCTAGAGCCCGTGCTCCACAACAAGAGAAGCCACCGCAATGAGAAGCCCGTGCACCGCAACGAAGAGCAGCCCCCACTCACCGCAACTAGAGAAAGCTTGTGCGCAGCAACAAAGACCCAACACAGCCAAAAATAACTTAATTAAAAAAAAAGAATATACACTCTTATCTTTAAAAAACCGCGCGTAGAACTGTGAAGAGATACCGATACACTTACAAAGTCTAGAATAATTTTGATTACAAAATTTTGATTACAAATAATTTTGATACCCTCATTTAAAATAGAAACAAAATATAATCATAAAGCTCTTGAATGCATAATTAAGAAATATTTAGTGATAACCACTCATAGAAACAAATCTGAAATGAGAATATGGAAACAATGGTTCTCTGATAAGGACTGTAATGGAAAGCAAAGTAATTAGAACTTGATTGCAAGGAATAAAAGAAACATACTAATCATAGCAAAAAACTGATGTCTCTTCAAATTTGTTTGCATAAAGGTATTCTTCCATGTTGAAGTTCTGATTCAGACCAAGGATATAAAATCTAACTTTAGAATCACCTGAAGAATTTACCGAGAGAAAATTTTCCCTAATATTAAATCGATAACTCTTAGTCATGATGGCATCAGGAGGAAGGAGGATTAAAATCAGGTACCTGTTCCCTGTTTCTTTTTCAGGAGAGATGCACAGGCAGCATTAGTAGCCATGTCCAGGGCCAGCTTCTTCTCATTGTTTCTTAAGTCTGTTCTAGCACCTTCCCCAACACAAGAAAGTAAATTAGGTGTTTTGAAGACTCTATAGTAGCAGCCAAACCTTATTTTTTTGTTTGTTTCTTTTTTCTCTTTTTCTTTTCTTTCTTCCAGTTATATTGAGATATAATTGACACACAACACTGTATAAGTTTAAAGTGTACAGATAGTGATTTGACTTATGAACATCATGAAATGATTATCACAGTAAGTTTAGTAAACATCCATCATCCCATATAGACAGAAAATTAAAAGAATATAAAATTTTTTTTTCCTTGTAATGAGAACTCTTAGGATTTACTCTCTTAACAACTTTCTTATATAACAAACAGTAGTGTTAATTATATAGCAGCCAATCCTCTTTCCATCAAAACTAGTCACTTTTGGCAGAACTAACTAGAGAACCATTCTGGCCCCAAACTAGGCTCTATCCAAACAGTAAAACTTTCTCAAAACAGTAATAGCATATTTGGCAGCTTTAATCAGGGAGCTTATTGCTGCACCTGTAATAACTATACACAATTAAAATATAGCCTTCCTTTCGAGTCCCTATAGAATTGCGTGTGAACTTTTCAGTGAGGAGTTTACTGTCCCTGTGGACAGTAAATCAGACTCAACGTGCCTTGGCATGAGTTTTTGGAGATTAAATTCAATACACCCTTTGCCTCTTCTTTTCAAGAAGGTCTTTAGAAAAGACTATGTAAGTTGAGCTTGAGGAGATTAATATTTACCTTAAGTATACTCTCATGCTTATTAGCAGAATTAGTAACACTAAAATCTAGAGGCAATCCATTGTTCCCACAGCCCATCTTCTACTCCCTTTTTTCCTTGTCTTTATTATGTGATAAATTACATCAGAATTCATAAATCTTTCTCATTGTCAAAGATTCAAAAATACAGATGTATGCTGAACAAAAGCTTATGTCTCATTTCAGCCTTCAACTAACCCCTTCCTTCCCCATCTTCTAGCTTCCCCAGAGGTGACCATTCCCAACAAGTGGGCATCAGTTCCCATCTCCCTTATGTGCAAGAATGCATTCACAGACATGTGGACATATACACAAAATCATACTCCATGTATCAGTCTGTAATTTGATTTTTTTTTGCCAATGATATTTTCCTTTTTTTTTTAGTTGATGTACAATATTTATAAGTTTCAGGTATATAACATAGGGGTTCACAATTTTTAAAGGTTATATTTCATTTATAATTGTCACAAAATATTGGCTATATTCCCTGTGTCGTACCATGTATCCTTGTAGCTTATTTATTTTATACACAGTAGTTTGTACCTCTTAATCCCCTATCCCTATCTCACCCCTTTCCCTCCCTCTCCTCCCTGGTAACCACTAGTTTTGATTTTTTTAACTTAATAATATATCATCGTATTCATTCCTTAGTAGGACACATACTTATAACCCAATCTATTTAAATATTTATAATTATTCCATTTTGTGGGTATTCCAAAATTTATTTAACCACTCCTCTATTGAGGGGTGTTTAAGCTTTTCCTAATTTTCATTATCACAAACAATGCTGCCGTGAACCTCCTTGAACAACATCTTTGTTTATATGCATTTCCGAAGGATGGTTTCCTAGAAGTGGTGCTGAAATGTAAGGATATGTATGTTTTCATTCTGCTAGCTACTGTTAGACTGCCTGCCAAGAAGGCTTACCAATTTACACTTTCTGACACAGTGTTTGAGAGTGCCATTTTCTCTACAACCACATCCTCTTCAGTAAACAAAATATAAATGTCCTAAAACTCAAAGGCACAAAAATACTGTCCAGAAAAAAATAGTATGTTTAATTAGGAATACGGTGACCATGTGTGAAAATCTCTCATGAACAGATTTAGATATCCACAGCTGGGGTTATAGGGAAAACCTCATTCTCTCGCTGTACTACAGGTCAAAAATCCTGCAGCTTCATAGTTCTGTGACTAATCATACCTTACTTTACACTTGAGAACTCACATACATGATTTCTGTCAGGACGGGAAATGTTCAGAGACAGGATGCTAGAGAAGAAACTCAACCATTTTCTGTGTCCCTCTCAACCAGTGCTGCCCAGCAGAAAATTATGCGAGCCATAGATGTAATTTAAATTTTTCTAGTGGCTACATTTTCAAAATGTGAAATTCATTTTAATAATATATTTCATTTAACCCAGTATATCCAAAGTGTTATCACTTCATCATGTAACCAATATGAAAATTATTGCGATACTCCACTCTTTTTGTTTCTACTAAGTCTTCAAAATCTGGTATTCATTTTACACTTACAGCACATCTCAATTCAGACTAGCCTCATTTCAAGGGCTCAGTAGCACGGGTGGTTAGTGGCTGCCATAGTAGACAGTGCAGATGTTGGCATACCTTTGGGGGGCACTACAGTGGTCCTCAAGGTGTCTGACCTTTTGCACCTGGAGTTTACATCATCAACATCCTTTAAATCAAAAACATTTCCTCTCATATAACCCACAACATTGCTCCAAGGATCCCTAATGATACTGCATCCATGTGACATGTAGGCTGGGGATTCAAGTATCCTATATTATAGCCTTCTGGACCACGGTGCAGTACGGGGTGATATTCCTGGCCTTCTATAAGGGTTAACTAATATTTATGGGACAAACAGATGAATGGATGGTGAGTCCATAATTTCACTGTTGCTTCTGAGTTGTGTGAAAACAGGGAATCAACGTATCTTCCTATTTTCTGTACACCTAGCATCTGCTCAGCTCAAAGCAGGACATCGCAGCCACAGCATTCTTTCTTATCTATCAAGCTTTCCTGTGAGAACAGGGGCCTCAGCAACTTTACCCATACAGCTTTCTTAGAGAGATCTCCTCTGTACGTGTGCATGCACATGTGTGCGCATGCACACATACACACACACACCCCCCTTCCTTCTGAGGCCCTTTAATCCTGCAGAAATGTACAATAAATTCTTACTAAGGGTAATATACGTGATTTTAAAGCTTACCAAGCTTTTGAGTTAAAATTAAAAACTTACACAAATCACCTCAATTTTATCTTATCATAAGAACTCTGTGATGCAGACAGAGTAGAGATCAAAATTCCAGTTTTAAAGTAAGAAGCCTATTATTTTTCCTACTATTTCAAGTGGTATAAGTGGACATAGCCTACTTTTCAGGGTAAGCAAAGACCAGAAAAACTAAGCACACTTTACCTTTTGCCAGAAGCAACTGGACAATATCTGCATAACCCTTCCAAGCAGCAGCATGCAAAGCTGTGTCTCCCAACTTGTTCTATGGTGATATAACAAGAGAAGGCAGCATTTTAAAAAGAGAGTGTGGATTGAAACCGCATATGAATTTAGGTTTACTCTAACCTAAGTAAATCTAAAATGAGAACGAAGTTATAAAATCATATAAAATTCCAAAGAGGGAAAGGAGACTCAAAAGATGAGAGGTGAGTCATTTGGGGAAAGGCAATGGGATGCAAGAGGAGAAACTGACTCGGCAGATCACAAGTGGAAGTGCAGATGCCTGCAGAGGGAGACGCCAGGAGGAAACAAACAGATTTGTCTCCGCAGAAACCAGCATGAATTAGGAACTGGAGATGGCTGGAGACACGGGAGCAGGAA